TGAACTTCAATTTTTCAGTTTAAGATTTCATGTTTTATTGATTATTATCTATACAACTGCTATGTAGTCTTCTCCTCCAAGTGTTGTTTTATTTATTTTTGTAAAGCATATTTAAGTATTAATTTGAGAGAGAAAGACAGGGAGAGAGAGAGAGGGAAACAGAGAGACAGAGACAGAGAGATACAGAGCGCCAGTGGGAAAGGGGCAGAGAGAGAGGGAGACACAGAACCCGAAGTAGGCTTCAGGCTCCAAGCTGTCAGCACAGAGCCCAGCTCGGGGCTCAAACCCACGAATCGTGAGATCATGACCTGAACCAAAGTCAGTTGTTTAACTGACTGAGGCACCCAGGTGCCCCCTTTAAATGTTGTTTTAAAATTAAAGAATGAATCAAAATAAAACCTCTCATTCAGGGTACAATTTAGTAATTGCCTAAATTGTATCTTTTGTAGAATTTTAGTTTTAATAAAATTTATTTATTAGTTACTGAAAAATTATTTATATAAACTACCATATCAGACCATATCAAAGTTCACACTGCTTAAGTAGTTACAAAATTATTAAAATTTTTTAAAGGTTTATTTATTTCTGAGAGAGAGAGCGAGAGAGAGCAGGGGAGGGTCAGAGAGAGAGGGAGATACAGATTCTGAAACAGGCTCCAGGCTCCGAGCTGGCTGTCAGCACAGAGCCCGACATGGGGCTCAGACCCACCAACCGTGAGATCATGACCTGAGCCGAAGTTGTACGCTTAGCCGACTGAGCCACCCAGGCGCCCCACAAAATTATTAGATAGCTGTGCATGTTTTCCTTTGTTTTGTATTCTAATTATTTTAAAAATATTTTTAACTTGCATGGTTTTATAATAGGAAGTTGGAAGAATATTTCTTTTTTGACCATTTATCGTTTGTTTCATTTAATGACTTCTGAAAACATTTTTCCATATAGAGGAGGAGGTTGTTAAAAATGATGCACTCTGGGCATCAAATACAGTGGGTAAACCCTGGTCATGGAATATGCATGCTATACTAAACAGTCATGGTTTTCATAAGGATCTTTAAAATGTAAGTCCTCCTAAACCTACAGTTACTCAAAAAAGGACACTTCATCGTAAGAAAGACTGAGGTAAAAGAAATTTCACTCTTTTACTGCATATGTTTATTTGAATTATTTTTAGCATTGAAAATTCCCTATGCATTAATATGAATGTTTGAGAATAACGTCAGGAACAATTAATGTTGGCCGATATATGCCAGCCCAAACCAACTGTGATCTTCACCTCTCTTTAGAAAATAATTGTTTGACAAGACAAACCCCTTGGGGCAGCTTTTGATTTCCTGAATGTCATGAAACAGCTATACATAATTCAGGACAAGCAGCAAAGTGTCTGCGTGCCTGTCGGATGGAGAATTGGAACGGCGCCATTTAGCTCTGTGCGGCATTGCCGTGCTACAAACATCAATTTGAATCTCAGGGAGAAGGGAAGTGTTAATACTTTCTTTGTACAGAACTGGGTATACTCTTGATGACTTTTAATGCCTGTTGGCAAGCCTGCATTCGTCTATTCATTCCTTCCTTCATTCAAGAAAAATCCCAGTGCCAGCCAATGAGACAGTCAGTGATCCCCACCCTGCTGATAAGAGGATGCAGGAACCACAATGATGTTTCTATAATCCCATTGAGAGAGTCAGGGATGCGATCGGGAACATCAGCTCACTCTCCTTGCCTCCCCTCTCTGTGTGCTCCCCGCAACAACAAAATCACATAGGGTAGGACTAGAGGGGATGTTCACTTGTGCTGCTAGCATTGGGTGAGAACCTCATGGCTAAATGGAAAGGTAACATATTGTAGTAAGAAGAGAGACTTAGAGTTGGTTTTATCATGTCAGTCACACACCGAGGAAGGTGAAGTTGTATATGTGTTTGTGTAGGAAAGGATGGTGGGTAAGAATTTTCCTATTTTCATCCTGTTTTACAGAGATTGAGGACCAGAGAGACCGGGTGGCCATCTCATCATCACCCAGCGTGTTAGTATTTGAACAACCATGTTTAAATAAATATTCCAATTTTTAGCTATTTACATGACTTTTATAAATGTCCCAAAAGAATCAGGCTCTGTATTTTCTCGTGGTGAAGAAGCCAAGTTTAAGTGCATCCCACCTACCGCTTATTGCATTTATTCTGAAATGACCAGTGATTTCCATCTCACTATTTGAGAAAACCGTGATTGAAGTGGGTTTCGATTTCCTGAATTTGCCATGAGTTTCCTGGCTTCTCTGCCTTTGCCCTTCCATGTGCTCAGTCTTAAAATGTCTCCGGTATCCCATTCAGTGCTCTGATTATCAAAGGGCTACTCATTCACTAAGGTTCAGCTCAAGTATAACCTTTCCATTAAGCCTCTTCCCAATAGTCCCAGCTGAAGTTAATCCTCTGTACACACAAGCAAAGTCTACACCTCTTTATAGTGGTATTTCATTCTCCTATTTGTCAAACATCTTTATTTCCCACTAGAAGGCAAGCCCCGTGATGGAATACACCTTGCCTTATTTATTTCTCTACCCCTAACAACTAACATACAAGGACACACAAGGTCCCTCTGAGCCCTGCTTTCAACTCAGATAAATCTGAAGACTAAAAACATGGTAGATAGTAAATTCATTCTGGGAAAGTGGCTTTGTTAGTTAATCTTGTCTCATCAATTAAATGCTAAGCTCCTTGAGGGTAGGAGGGTCTTTGTCTAAATCTACCTTGTTGTTTTCCACAATGTTGGCACCAAGTTCTAGGCTCCACACACTGCGACTGACTTATCCAAGTACCTGAAAAGGGAAGTGAGGAGGTTGAAATATTCTATTAACTTATTAACTTTAGGGGGGATGGAGTTCTGGAAATGTGAGTTTCACTTGGCTTTTCTGATTCTGGCCCCTTTGCTTTTTTTGTTGTAAGTCTAACCACATCCAGGTGTTATATTGCTAGACACTTCCTTTTGGTAGATTATCTTACCCTTTCTCTTCAAGTTTTTGAAAGCTTCATGCTTATAACTTGGCTTTTAGTTTGCTTTCATTTTTATTTTGAATTTTTGGAAGCAACTGAATTAGTAAGTCTTAAAGTCAACTTGGTTAAGGTTTCAGTGTATTTATAAATATATAATCAATACTCACAAGTTTCTAAATGTTCTCTGCAGGCCCCTTGTCTCAATTGGTTCCTGGAAACAAGCGAGTTTCTGAACAGAGGTTGACAAGATGTGAGCAGAAATTACAGTGAGAGGTATTTTTGGAGGTTAGGAAATAACTAAAAATGAGAATACTTATGCTGGCAAGGGTATAGAAATAAAGTAGAGCAGTGAGATAAAAGTAAAGCAGCAGGTGTAATGCAGGACCAAAAGCTGTCCCCCACTTCAACATCAGAGTGGCCCTTAACTTGCTTTGTTTTTAAAAGAAAGCTTGGGTTGGGGCACCTGGGTGGCATCCGACTTTGGCCCAAGTCATCTCACGGTTGTGAATTGAAACTTTTCCTGTGGATTCAATCTTCTCATTATGAACACAGTTATTACTCTGTTATATAACACAATCATTCCCTCTGGGCTAATTAGGAAATAATGTGGAGTTGTGAGGATTCTGTATCAAATGAGAAGAGTTTGGGATCTTGCCGTACCTATTTTGCTTGTTTAAAGAACATTTCTTCTTCATGTATCTTGGTTCTCAGTTGCGTCCTAGATGTTGAGGTTACCAGGTAAATACTTTCATGATAGGTTAAACAGAATAGAACTTAATAATATAGATAATTAAAAAAAATTGTTTTTCTTGGGGCACGTGGGTGGCTCAGTGGGTTAAGGATCCAACTCTTCTTTTCAGCTCAGGTCATGATCTCACCGTTTCGGAGTTCAAGCCTTGTATCACACTCCTGCTTAGGATTTTCTGTCTCCTTCTTTCCCTTTGCCCCTCCCCTCTCACTCTCTTTCTCTTTCAAAAAAATAAACTGTAAAAAATACTAAAAATAAATTATTTTTCTTGGCTGCAGACTTTATGTATAATTGATAATTACTAACAGAAGTTTCATAAAAGATAACAGAAAATCTATTTCCAAGAAAAAAGTCTCCCCACCAAAACAAAGGGAGAAAATTTCCTGTATGTTAGACCAGAAAAGGTACATTGTGTTCATCCTCCCACTTTAGAAGACAAAACATTCAGGTTATGTCAGAACATCCTATCTTCCAACAATTATCTCGAGCTGCATGTGTCCTACATAGAAAAAGTTGTGGGAAAAAATTGCAAGGCAACACTAAAGCCTTTGAGAAACAAGCGAAAAAAATTTCTAATGCCAAGTACTATAGGGAAGTAGTTGTCAACACAAGTTCCTCTCTCCCACTTATTGGAATATATCAGAGCTAGTAATAGAAAATGTGATTACTCCCCAAGACACAGTAACAGAGTAATGGTTAATAGACTCTAGTATGAGTGTGAGTCATGAGTCCCCCCTAATTATTAGCATATCACACTAGGCAAATGTTTCAGTATGTCAATTTCCTTATCTATAAAATAGGTTTCATAATAATATATATTACTTTTATTGTGAAGATTAAATGAGTTAAAATATTTAATGTGTTTTGAATAGCCCTTAGAATATAATAACTAATTGAACAGAAATTGTTATTATTATTTGCTACTATTGAAGTAGCTACCAGGTAATAAAATAAAATGAAGATTTTATAATAAGAGTCAACTTGACAAAAAGTTCTACTTAATAAAAGAAAAAATATAAAAGAATTTAGTAAGTGCAAAAACTAATATTTTGGAAATTGAGGAAGTTGTTGAACAATTGAATTCTTTTTTCTACAAATACTCATTATGTGCCTACTATGTGCTTTGTTACTAAGGGTTAATGGACTGGGAATGTTATCTGGAAAAATTATAGGATCATACTTGAGAAATCTTTGGCAGAAACTGTGGAGTCGCCAATACCTGGTCCTTCTGGAGCATATTTGATTTTAATTTTGTATTCACCTTTCAGGGGAAAGAACATGTAGAGAACAACTGTATGTAAAGAGATATTCCAGCCACACTGTGCCAGCAGGGAGTTCATTTGAACTGGAGTGCCCTGTGAAATACTGTACTAAGAAACCTCATGTGACCTGGTGCAAGCTCGAAGGAAAAAATTGTTTACTTCTTGGATATAAACTTCTGGGATACATGAATTGGAAAGAAAATGAGAGTATTTCAATTTTTGTTCTTCATTTCAATCGCATCCTGGCTCATGACACCGGTTCATACCGCTGTTCTGCGACTTTTACATCTGGAGTTATTGAAAGCCATTCAATAATCATTAATGTAACAGGTGAGTTCTACACTCCAAGACTATCTGATATTTTTTCATCATGTTTCAAGGAAAAGGAGGACCTAGACTCTCAAGAGATTCTGTTAGACACTGAACTCATGTCAATGAGAAGACTGCCACACTCCTCAGATTGTGATCTGTGTGAGCATGTGTGTATGTAGTTTTGGGGTGAGTTAGGTAGAATATAGAGAACAAATATCATAAAATTCTTGTCCTTGCCTTTAGGGATGATAACATTTATCTGATAAGTCCAAAAATAGATCACTGAAGTATGGAAAAATTACCAAGCGAATACCAATAGTAGTAGATAGTTCTCTATTCTTTGTCCTCTTTTCCTTCTATTTTTTCATCCACTTACCAGTCCTTGACTTTTATTGATAATAAATCCTCGAAGTTACATTTGTGGTGCTCAGAAAATTATAAGCTTGTTAATAATCCACAGTTTATACAGAGAACACACAGCACACAAATACACCTGACTCCCTGATGTGCTTTGAGGATGTTCATAGTTTTAGCTGCCTCCCCAGTCTCTCCCAGAGGCCCTCAAACAGGCTCAAATATCAGGATAACAGATTGGAGTTTAAAAACCTGGAATAAAACATGGAAAGCAAACAGAGAGAAGTAAGGAAAAAATGTTTTTCAAAAGTTTGATTTATGAAAATCTCACATCATACTCAATGGTAAAATATTGAAAGCTTTTCCTCTGAGAACAGGAAGGCGACAAGGATGTCTGCTTTTGTGACTTCTATTCAACACTGAACTGGAAGTTCTAGCCAGAGCACTTAGGCAAGAAAAAAGAAAGAAAAGGCATCCAAATTGAACAGAAAGAAGTGAAACTATCTCTATTCACAAATGATATGATTTTATACCTAGAAAATCATTAAAAATCCACAAAAGCTACTATAGTTAATAGATGAATTCAACAAGGTTGTACGATCAACTAAAAAATTAGTGGTATTTCTATACATTACCAGTGAACTATCTGAAAAGGGAACTAAAAAAAATTCTATTTATAGTAGCATCAAAAAGAATAAGATACTTACAAATAAATCTAACCTGGGAAGCTCAACACTTGTAGACTGAACAAAATGTGGCTGAAAGAAATTAAAGAAGATATAAATACACGGAAAGATATCCCATGTTCACACTGGAAGACTTAGAATTGTTAAGGTGACAGTATTTCCCAAAGGAATCTATAGATTCAATACAATTCCCATCGAAATCCCAACAACCTTTTAAAATTTTTTTTTCATAGATGAAAAAGCTGATCCTAAAATTCACACAAAGTTACAACAAGATCCAAAATAGCTGAAAAAAGTCTTAAAAAAGAAGAGCAAAGTTAGAGGGCTCACAGTCTTTTATTTTAATATTTATTACAAAACTACAATAATCAAAACAGTGTGGTACTAACACAAGGATAGATATCGCGATCAATAGAATAGAATTGAGAGTCCAAAATAAATCCACACATCTTTGGCCAATTGACATTTTTTGTTTTTAATAATTTGTTGTCAAGTTAGCTAACATACAATGTATACAGTGTGCTCTTGGATTCGGGAGTAGATTCCTGTGATTCATCACGTATATAAAACACCCATTGCTCATCCCAACAGGTGCCCTCCTCAATGCCCATAACCCATTTCCCTGCCCCCTCACCCCTTTCTATCCTCAGTTTGTTCTCTGTACTTAAAAGACTCTTATGGTTTGCCTTCTTCTCTGTTTGTAACTATATATATTTTTTTCTTTCCCTTCCCCCGTGGTCTTCTGCTAAGTTTCTTAACTTCCACATATGAGTAAAAACATATGATATCTGTCTTTCTCTGACTGACTTATTTCACTTAGCATAATGCCCTCCAGTTCCATCCACGTTGCTCCAAATGGCAGGATTTCATTCTTTTTCATTGCCAAGTAACATCCCATTGTGTATATAAACCACATCTTCTTTATCCATTCATCAGTTGATGGACATTTGGGCTCTTTCCATAACTTGGCTATTGTTAATAGTGCTGCTATAAACATTGGGATACCTGTGGCCCTATGAGTCAGCACTCTTGTATCCTTTGGATAAACTCCTAGTAGTGCTATTGCTGGGTCGAAGGGTAATCAATCTTTAATTTTTTGAGGAACTTCCACACTGTTTTCCAGAGTGGCTGCACCAGTCTGCATGCCTACCAACAGTGCAAGAGGGTTGCCCTTTCTCCACATCCTCAGCAACATCTGTTGTTTCCTGGGTTGTTACTTTTAGCCACTCTGACCAGTGTGAGGGGGTATCTCGTTGTTTTGATTCGTATTTCTCTGATGATGATGAGCATTGGAGAGCATCTTTTCATGGGTCTGTTACCCATTTGGATGTCTAGTTTTGGCCAATTGACTTTTAATAAGACCTCCAGACCCATTCAATGAAAAAATGATAGTTTCTTCAGTAAATAGTGCTGAGGTAATTGGATACACATATGCAAAAAATGAATTTGGACCTCTGCTTCATACAACATACAAAATAAGTAAAAATGGATCACATATTTAATATAAGAACTAAAACAGTAGAAACTATGTTTGTATAAAATTTGAATACTATGTTTCCTTAGAGGAAAACATAGAAGTAGATCTTGGGAATCTTGGATTTGTTAATATTATTTTGCTACAACATCAGAAGCATAAATACATAAACAAATAAATAAATTATACTTCATAAAAATTAAAAACTTTTGTACATCAAAGGACACTATCAAGAGAATGAAAAGACAACCTATGGAATGCGAAAAAATTTTTGCAAATCATATATCTGATAAGGGACTAGTACCCAGAATATATAAAGAAGTCTTACAACTCAACAACAGTTAAGCAACTCAATTTAAATGGGCAAAAGACTGAGCAGACATTTCTTCAAAGATTTATAAATGGCCAATAAGCAAATGAAGAAATGCTCAACGTCATTCATCATTAGAGGAATGCAAATCAAAATCACACCCACCAGGATTACTAGAAATTTTTTTAATGGAAAATGACAAATGATAGCAAAGATGTGGATAAATTGAACTCCTTGTACTGTGCCGGTTGGAATGTAAAATGATGCTGCTGCTTTGAAAAGGCCTGGCAATCTTTCTTCAAAAAGTTAAACATAGTTGCCACAAGACCCAGCAATATACAAGTGAGATGAAAGGATGCGTCCACACTAAAACTTGTACCTGAATGACCTGAATGCTTATAACCACACTGTTCACAGAAGTCAAAAAGTGGAACAATCCAAGTGTTCCTCAACTGATAAATAGGTAAAGGAAACATGTTATATTCATACAGTGGGATATTATGCAGGCTAAAAAGGAATGAAGTGCTGGTATGTATTACAAAATAGATGAACTTCAAAAACATTGTGCTAAGTAAAAGAAGCCAGATATAAAAGATTACATGTTATAATCTTGATTCTGTTTGTATGAAATATGCAGAACAGAAAAATCTGTGGAGATAAAGAGTGACTAATGGTTGCCAGGAAGGGTTAATGGGAGTAACTAATTAATGTGTATGGAATTTCCTTTGGGAATGACCAAAATGTTCTGAAACTAGATAGTGCAAAACGCTACATAGTTGTACAAGATTGCATTGAGCTATCCGCTTTAAAATATTAAAATAATAATACTTATGTTAATATGTATTTTACCACGATAAAAAATATATTTGGATCAAAGGAGATCACCCTTTAATTATAAGAAATGAAATGGGGTTTATTTGGGACCCATAAATCGACCATGAAGGTTATTGCCAAGAGAAATTTCAAAGAGTTTTGATGCACTGGTAGTATGTCTGAAATCTATACGCAGACGTACATAGTCACTTCCTCTATGGACACCATTCACTTGAATGCATACACTTTGTGTTTGTAAAAAATTCATTTATTACTCTACATGTGTACTTTGGAGTCCATCTTTTAACTCCCTTAAAGTAGCCCAATGAAGGAACCCACTTAAATCCCTTAAAAATCTTTTAAATTACTTTAAGACCTCTGAAAACAGCCTAGTAAAGGAATGCATGGTACTCTAGTGCTGGTTACAACCTTCTATTATCAAGCATAGAAGGGTAGAAGGGATTTTGGGTAGAGTTGGAGACTCTGCTTTTGCAAATTTGGGATCAAAGTCAATGCTAATTGCCTGTGACTATCCATGCATTGGCTTATAAACCTCTTTGGAATGGAAGCTGTGTCCTAAACATCTTTGCTTCTCTGCAAACAGATGACATAGTATATAGCACATAGCAGGTGTTCAATAAATATTTCTTTATCATTCTTAAATGAATTAAATAACATAATCTATGCAAAGTGAAACAGTTGCCTTTAACAACCTGGAGAAGCTTATACTGTAGATTATGAAATGAATCCTTTCTGGAGAAAATTGCACTATTAATTCATATAATGAGATAAAATATTGAGTTTTTAAAGAAGTATTACTTTGTAACTGGCAAAATAAATGATAAAAATAGGCAAAACTTGCAAGACATTACTTCCAGAATATTAATGATACTATGAAATAGACAATAATTAAGGGCTATTAGAGTATTTACATAATGAATATTAATATAATGTATAATAAAATTAAATGCAGTGGCATTGAGTCCACCCCTCCTTGGAAAAGCGACCTTCTTATGTAAGTTTGTCTTCTTTTGTGGGAACTAATCCCCGTCTGTGCAAGAGGGAGGAATTTAGCCAAAGTCAGAGGCAAGCCAATAATGACTTATGATACGGGAGTGTCTCAGGGGTATTACTGTGTCTCCTGTGTCCCATTTTGGGGTCATTCCACAGCCACTACAGATGGTTGCACAGTTTGTAAAGTGCATGAAGGTGCCTGTTCTAGGAATCAAGTCAGAGCTGAAATTAGGATCAACAGTCTGTCTCCCTTGGGGAGGAGGGAGCCACAGGGAAAATAGGCAGCTTCTCTCTTGAACCCTGAGCCCTGGGGGCAGGATGCTTATTAGGATCACACTGGGGAGGAACAAGAACCACGGAGTTGTGAGAGGGAAAAGCTACCTAGGAGAGAGGAGGGCCTTTTAAATTTCCCTTTGGAGACTTCTAATTTCCTACTCTCCCGACTTCTTATCACTTTGTGAATCAGTGCTCCTGCCCTAAGGAGGAGACGCCCCCAGGACTTTGCTTTGGCCGTCTACTCTCATCTGGCAGCAACCTGCACTCTGGGATTGATTCCCTCCTGTAGCTTCATGAGAATCTCAAACCTTCATTATCTTCCTTCCAAATAGTCTAATCAGCTGGATGGACTCTTTGTCTTTAGTGTTTCCTGTTTTAGTCCATTTCAGCCAAACATCTTCCTAATAAATGTCTTCCATAATGCCGCTCCTTTACTGAGTCCCCACAGAGTATCCATGGGGCTTCCCATGTTGGGCTCACATTTAACCAACACTCAAGGCCTTCGACAGTCCATCCACACCTGCCTTCCTTGATTGGTTCCAGACTCCACTGTGAACCTCTACTCCAGCCCCGCAGCCCATGCCTGCTATCGCATGTCTTCACCCTACTCTACCTATGTTGCTCTCCCCGCTCATAGGGCACCCATTCATCTGCCTCCACCTACCACAATTCTGCCCTTCTCATTTCCCATGTTCTTAAGAAAGCTTTCCATGTTCACCCTAAGGGAAGTGATTTCTCTCTTCTAGCCAATTTTATGCCATTTAAGGTCTGCGCTTTTCATTTATCAGACATTCCTTTGCACTATAGTAATGTGTGGACATGTTCTTTATCCCATGAAGAATTATAATGAAGCAGGAACTGTGAGGTACTTTTCTGGGTTTTCTTGCTTCCTTCGCAAAAGTCAAATGAATTCTTTCAGAATTGGCTTTGAACTGAGTGGGAATTTGCCTTTCAAGAAGTGATGAAAATAAACATAATAGGGAAAGAATTCAAGAAAAATTCCTTTTCCTTCTGTATGTGGGAGTAGTCAGTGAGCCGAGTATCGAAGGACAAAAATATACTATAAAATTATATTTAAAAACAATGCTTTTCATAAAAATAATGTAGAGGTATGACAAAAAATATTTCTCCCCTTCAAATACCTTTCTTTGGCACTATTGGGAATTTTTCTGTTTTTGTATATAACTCTCTCTTTTTGGTACGTCCAAGTTAAGAATTGGTCCACTTAAGAACAGGGCTGTGGCAGAGTCAGGGCTTGGACGCTGTTGGGAAAGCAATATTGTCCCAGAATGAGGAAAAGTGCAAAGCCCCAGAAGAAAAGTTGACAGAGCTGGGGAACAGTCACTGGAATGTGCATCGGTCTGTGACTCCATTCCCACCAACCTCCCTTAGTCAGCCCCTGGTTAGGAACTTCACAAAGACAGGTGGTCATCCTCATAGCAGAGAAGTGAAGTATGAGTCGTAGGAAGTGAAAGGAACTGAAACACAATCTCTGTTTCAGAATGAGTAGTCAGCATGGCCTCAAAAGCATCTATTCCTTGTGGCCCTCCACACTCACTCAGAGCATCTGCTGAGTGAGCATCCTGTTTTTCCAAGTGCCAGGAGGCGACATACAGGCTATATTCTGTTCTTGTCCTTAAGTAATAGGGAAGAGGAAATCAAGGCAGACAGATGACGTTTGTGTTGTATTTGCAGTCTTCTTTCAAGCCTCAAAATAAATCTAGGAGCTTAACTTTGTGTCCATAATCTTTGAGGTGGTGATTCACACATCATGCAAACTCCTTTGAGCTGGGTTACTGGGTTCGGTTAGTGTGCAAATGCAGGAGTCCTCTCAGACTAGCTCTGACTTTAGACACACTCAAGTATTGTATTTGATTCTTCATCTTGCTTCTATTTCAGAACGGACTCAAAATAATTCAGAATACCCTCTAATAAGTGAGTATCAAACTTATCAAATAAAAATAAAGAAATAAGATTGTTTGATGGTTAAAGAAAGAACAAAAGTTGGATTTTCCTAATTGAGTAATTTTTTTTTTGTATTAGGTTATCTATGTGGGACCCTTGTCCCTATTTCTATTCATACCCTTCCCCCAGACAGCTGCGTCTGTCATTGGTAATGACTTGGCTGCTGTCCTAACCTAAGCAACAGCTGCAGCATGAATAATGAAGAATTTGTTACCACTCTGTTATCTAACCACTTATTTGCCCAGCTTCAGTAGCTCCTGACCACCTTTACCTTGAGCCAAGCATGTGAGGAAGCAGATAGATAACAATGTTAATATATTTAGAAATAAAAATTTCCTGCATAAAAATACTTAACATATATACAAAACTAATGCTGTGTGATGCATTCTGATTTTTTTCTATTCTGTTGTGATTCGTATTTTTAATGTTTTTTTGTGGTCTACTAACTTGTTTCATGATCCATCGATAAGTTGCAACCTATCAGGGACAAATAGAACATTAACTCATGTGAACATTGATCAGAGCAATGAGTACCATCTGTGTGCCCAGCAAAGCATGTTTGGAAATAACAAAGCTATCTGTAGATAACAAAATAATATAGTATGTGGAGATACCAAAGAGTTACAAGACAACAAAAAAACCTTTGTGGTAAAGGAACTGGAACTTAGCATCAAAAGCATGTTGGCTTCGGTCCCAAGTACAACTCACTACTATCTGACCTTGGGTGAGAGTCTTGGAACAATAACACTTTTATCAAGGCATGGAACTAGATAATAATAACAGTTTCCTTAGTTTTTCATTAGTGGTGAATATGAGAGTTAAGTGAGACAAGGTCGATGAAAGGGCTTGGTGAAGTGCTTTCTGAGAGCTGTTATGGGCATTTTTTTTTTTAATTTTTTTTAACGTTTTATTTATTTCTAGGAAAGAGAGAGAGAGACAGCGCGAGCAGGGGAGGGTCAGAGAGAGAGAGAGAGTCACAGACTCTGAAACAGGCTCTAGGCTCTGGGCTGGCAGCCAGCACAGAGCCCGACGCGGGGCTCGAACCTACGAACCGCGAGATCATGACCTAAACGAAAGTCGGACGCCCAACCGACTAAGCCACCCAGGCGCCCCTATGGGCATTTTTTTTAGAGGGGATTAACGCTAGCAGAATTAAAAATTCTTACCAAAGATGAATTATAACCCAGAGCCATCCACATATGCTCATCAATAAAGCACGAGGTGGGTGGGAATACTGAGGCCAGGGCTTCTTGGGGAATGCATCCCGGAAGGGAAATAGAGGCATCATTCATTCCAGTTCTGATGATGCAGGAGATATTACTGATCCTATTACATCTGAGATTCTCTAACTGCTTTAGCATTGACTCACATTTCAGATGCAACTGGTGCCTCAGGACCACCCTCTCTGGAAGTGATGGAGGACAAACAATGGATGCTTTATAGTTTGCTTTCTTTGGGGGCATTGCCTCTGTTTGTTACTTGTTTGTACCTATTCTTCTGCCTGAGAAGGCACCAAGGTGGGTTCTACCTTTCATCTGCTGCTCTATGCCACACATTTGGGGGTCAGTTATTAAGGCCGATTGACTTTTAGTTGGTTCTTGTTTTCTTTCCCATATTCTGCAATGAACCATGGATCATGATTTCCTCAGGGACAACATCCTTCCACCAAGAAGACAAAGGGACTAATTCAGGTCCCTTTCAGGCATATGGAAGCACGTTCTCCATGGCACAGTGCGCCAGGCAGGGATTGTGCTAAGGAGGGCACACGGCTGGGACTGACCCATTCTACTTGGGTCTGTCTTAAGTTCATGTAAGAAGCAGCTCGTCTTTACACTTTAAGCAGCTCTTCTTCACTACTTTAAGGGTAGTGAAAGGGAGGTGGAAATAATCTCTCAGGTCAACAAGTCTGATTTGAATTAGTCTGTCTTATCCTCTTTTTCACAGTCCCAGCACATCATGGCCGTCATACACACCCTCGTCTAAATGAAGCCCATATGTGCCCAAAGGAAATTCCTATCTCTGTACTTTCGCTCGCCACCACAAACACAGGGCTGAACTGAACTCTCACCCAAAAGTAATGCATTTGAAAAATGTGGGTTTGGCTAGGTGTGAAATCTTGGAAACAATTCCTTTCTGCTTTCTTAAGAATTCCTTCAGTGCCATGAGGAAACACTTAAACATAGTAAGAGGGAGATGTGTGGAGAATTCAGATGCAACACCTGTCCGCAACACCCCTGCTGTCTCTCTCTTTACTTTTCCCTCAGCCATCTCGTCCCATCCTGTCTCCCACATGGACGTCCTCAGGGTAGCTACAGAAGCAGAGCTAGACAGAGCAACCCTTTTCTCTGCCACAAGAGAAAGCTTTGTCTGGGCAAAAGTACTTTTGGTGTTTTGTGGTAAGGACTTCTGGAGCCCAGAACAACCTCAGAATACTGAAGGAATCCCCCATAACCCCTACTTCACATCTGCAGCTCTAAGGCTCTTTCTGTGGTCCCTCCCCAGCTTTCACCATCTTTCTTAAGGCTGCTTTAGAAAGCTTCAGAAAAAGAGGTAGGAAGAAATCCTTTGGACCACCATATCTAAAGTTAACTGAGCCATGGGAGATCCTGACCTATGTAGGTGAGGAGACAGCGGTGTGTTTGGCATCAGGTATAGAATGTCCCCAGAACAGGATTTCCATCCTGTTTCAAGTGATAATAGTAGATCCTGCCCCTTCCTCTTCGATATGCCATAAGGCTCTCTGGAGTCAGAAGGGAAGAGCCAGCGAATGCACACACACACGGAAGTATGTGTGCCTTGCTGGTTCCAGGAAATAAACAAGCCAAAACAAATAGCAACGCTGCCACTGGCCCGGGAGGCATCCCGCCTCTGCCCAGAATTTCAGCCTAGCAATCTGGTTCCAGAACACATATTCTTTCCACAACCTTAACTTATAGGGAATTGGGGAAGAGTTGTGTGTTGTTCTTTACTCTTCTTGGTTTCTTATTTGTCTTTTTGAATTCCAGCAGGAAGAAAGGAGCCTTCTGACATAGCAAGAAGGGAAATTAACCTGGTATGTTCCATGCATCTGTTAAAACAAATGCAATCTATGTTATACCATGTTAACCTTGATATAATATTTCAAATTTAATAAGTCTATGTAACACCTACTCTGTGCCAGGAATGGTTTTAAATGCTATATATAGCCTTAATTCTAAAAATGTGTTAATTTTTTTATTGTTTATTTTTGAGAGAGAGAGAGACAGACAGACAGAGTATGAGCAGGGAAGGGGCTGAGAGGGAGACACAGAATCCAAAGCAGGCTCCAGGCTCTGAGCTATCAGCACAGAGCCTGATGCAGGGCTGGAACCCTCGAACTTCGAGATCATGACCTGACCTCGAATGGATGCTTAGCCGACTGAACCACCCAGGTGCCCCTAAGAATGTGTTTATTTTACACTTACCTCCATCTGCAGCAAAGATTCTTCAGAATTCACAAGTTTCACAATAAGTGGCCTTTTGGAAGGGCATTAGTGGCAGTGTAGACCTGAAGTAGAAAAGTCAGAGATTGGATTGTATGACCTTGGCTACGCTCTTGATCTGTTATGTGACTTTGGGCTATTTATATATTCTTACAAAAACACCTTAAAATCTTTTGGTAGAGAATTGAGAGTTAATGAAAGAATGAACCATAAATAATCTCATAAATGATATGTGACTTCTTCACAGACTCCCAGTAGATAAAGAAATATGACCATAGGTCTAGTTATTATGCAAAAAGCTCTTGTAATGCATGTGGGCTCATCAAGGAAGAGACCTCCCAGACAAAGCAAAGGGCATTTTGGAGGCAGTGCCATGTTTTCCTATAGGTTCTTGGAATACAAGCATAAGCTTTTTTATTTGGGGCTCAATGTTGTGTAAATACTGGAACCCGAAAAAAATGCAAGATGAGGCAATATATTTCTGAAAAAAATTTTATGAGGTTGTTTGGTTAAAAAATAATCATAAGTGAGGTACTGCAAAGGAACGTGTGTGTGCACGTTTCACTGTGGAAGGGTAGAGATAAAGATGTAGTAACCTTCTCAAAAGTTCCAGAAATGCCAAATGCAGATATAGCCAGTAATTTTGCATATAATATTAAATGACACTCAGCATTCCTCAGCAGGTTGCCCAGTTTTAAATCAAACCAAATATATTCAACTTTGTAAACTGATATTAAGTTTTTAGTAAGCAGCAGTAGGCACCATTGTGTTGACTGCTAAGGTTTTATTTTTTCAAGTAGGGAATTTTCTTAAATGTTGTTTTCTTCCTATAGTGAACAACAATAAACTACATTCTATTACTATCAGGACTGAGGTCTATGGAACTATTTAAAACAATAATCTAAATGGTTTCTTGTTTAAATAAAGCCCAGCTTGGTTAAAATGTAGTCATATTTCTTCCTCTGTAGGCTGGACAAATTATCTATCATCTGAAGTTGAATTCAAGGGGCTTCTCTATGTGTGCAATTGTTGGAATTTTGTTTTAAGATGCCTGTATCTTCACAGCTTTGGCCCATTTGAGTTGGCCAACATTTCAGAAAATATGGTGAGGCCATATTAGACCTTTGAGACTAAAGATTTCTTAGGAAGGGACTCATATTGGAATCAGTGGAATAGAAACCTAACAGAGAGAAAGGAGCTGGTAAAATATGGCAGGTACATATGAAAGGCAGAGTTCTCATCTTACTCCACAAAGTTCCCTGGAGGGTGTAAAAGTACTTAAAATACTAAAAAAAAAAAAAAAAAATCACTGAACTGTGTATTTTTTTTTAAAGTGCTTTGTAAACTGTAAAACGGCATTACAATATAGAGTAGGGTAGCAGCTTCGGTATTTGTCGTATCTATCCACATCAGCCTTGTGGCATCCACCCACTTTGCTGATGTGCTACACCATAGGCTCAACCACAGGCCACCACCATAGGCTCTACCATGTTTTCTTTTACCTCGTTCATTCTAACCAAGTTTTCCATGGAAACCAGCCATCTTTGGGGAAGGGAGCCAGGTGACTGAGTTGACAGACTTCTACACAACTGTAAAAGTGCAACAGAGATCTTATTGATATATTGAGGACTATGGCTATTTATTAGGTCACATGACAGTTTTCTTCTTCAGTGCTTCTCTGGAGAAATTACCCAGGTTCCTTTGAGTGGGGATTGGGGCACTTTTCAGCTGAGCCAAGAGACTGGGAGTGAGAAAGCTATTCCTGCCTCATTCAACTACCCAGCCTTAGTGTTACTTCCTGGACAGCCACCTCATTGAAGAGAAGCCGTATACTCAGTATCCAATGCTTAGTTTCTTGACATTGGGCCAGATATGCACATGTGGTAGAGGTCTGCCAGGAAGGGGTAGAAGATGGGCTACTTCATATACAAAATAAAGACGATAAAGGAAGAGATAGGCATGTAGACTGTCAAAGACTGTGGATCTGATACCTTCACAGAGTTAGGCTACACTTCAAGAACATAAGTTGACTGGGAAAATTGCAATTAAAAATTGAAATAACAACTGTTAGCATTAAAATGATATCTTCATTTTTATCAGGTAAGGTCCTTGTATAGTTAGGAGTGGTTAACTGAAAAGAATGAGAAGCATCAGGACGCATTTTATCTTAGTTTTTGTAAGTCTGCCGCTTTTTCTCTTTTTTTCTTAATTTTTAAAAATATTTACTTATTTTTGAAAGAGAGAAAGCACGAGTAGGGGAGGGGCAGAGAGAGAGGGAACAGAGGATCTGAAGCAGGCTCTACGCTGACAGCAGAAAGCCTGATGCAGGGCTCAAACTCACAAACTGTCAGATCATGAGCCAAAGTTGGATGCTTAACCGACTAAGCCACCCAGGTGCTCCTCTTTTTTTTTTTTTTTTTTTTTTTTTTTTAAGTATCTCTTTCTCAGAAGCTTTAAGATATTTGATTTATTTGGAGGTATAATAATTTTCTTGTGATAATCCAGATAAGTTTTCCTGCAGTTAGGCCCTCCTTCCCAAAATTGAAGGCAATTTCTAATTCCAGGTTTTAAATCATAATAATGTATCTTGGATAACTCATAATTTTTACTCTTTCTGACCCATTAGAGGACATCTGTTCTATTTTACTTTTTTTTTTTAATGTTTTATTTATTTCTAGGAGAGAAAGAGAGACAGCGTGAGCAGGGGAGGGTCAGAGAGAGAGGGAGTCACAGACTGAAACAGGCTCCAGGCTCTGAGCTGGCAGTCAGCACAGAGCCCGACGCCGGGCTCGAACTCACGAACCGCGAGATCATGACCTAAGCAAATGTCAGACGCTTAACCGACTAAGCCACCCAGGCGCCCCTGTTCTATTTTACTTTTAATCATTTACTTCTAAACTGTGTTAATCCTTTATCTTGTAAGCTGTCTGAAGTTTCTTGTGGGATTTTTATGTTTTTCTTATTAATTTGGGCTGAGAGATTGAAAAGTATTCTGTTGGGGTACCTGGGTGGCTCAGTTGGTTGAGCACCTGGCTCTTGATTTTGGCTCAGGTCATGATCTCATGATTCATGGAATGAAGCCCTATGTTGGGCTCTGTGCTGACAGTGCTAAACCTGCTTGGGATTCTCTCTCTCTCTCTCTCTCTCTTTCTGTCTCTCTCCCTCTCTGCCCCTCCCCAGCTCCTGCTCTGTCTCTCAAGAAAAAACAGAGTTCTGTGACCTCAATAACGAAGCACAAAATTACTACTTGGGAGGAACATAGTGGTCCTAAGACTTTCATCTTTTAACAAGTAAGAATCTGCTAAAAATGTAAATGTCAGCAGCAAATGTGAGGAAGAGTAAATTAATTCTGTTGATGTGTTGACTCCATTTAGCACATACCCATAGTTTGCTAATTGTGTGTACTATCGCAACCTTAAGTGGTAGTTAAAACAGTTTTGTTTTGTTTTTTTCTCTTACAGGTTGATATTCCCCAACCCTTTCAGAGTGAGGAAACTGATGTGGGAATCAGGCAAAATCCCCAAACACTGCTATCAGAAACTGGTCCTTATGATAATGACCCCTGGTTCAAGGTCCAAGAAGAGTCTGAAGTTTATTCTAACCCATGCCTGGAGGAAAACAAACAGGGCATTGTTTATGCTTCCTTGAACCATTCTGTCATTGGAATAAACCCAAGACAAGCAAGGAATGTGAAAGAAGCACCTACAGAATACGCAGCCATATGTGTGAGGAGTTAAATTGGATCTTGATCTCCAACCAGTGATCACTGAATGATCTGCATGTCCACACATTTACTGAGCCCAACAAAAGGTCAAAAAATATTCCTTGACCTGAGAAGCTTCACTTTAAGGAGTTTCATGTTGGTGCTTGGGTCTTAAGGGACCATAGGACAAATGACTAAAATTTCTCCCCCAAATTCTGAGGGAACTTTTTATATGATACCCTTGAACAACAACACAAAAACCCTTCCCTCCAAAACTAAGTGATATTATGAATAGCAGAGTGGTAGAACACTTAAACTTAGCCACATTTTACCAATGTACAAAGTTAATATATTTTTTGGAGGATAAGAGACACATGTAAGTAAGAGAGATTTGTGTTACCTGGATCACTTCACTACACTTTCTTGACAAAGAAAGGATGTCCCAATTTGACTAACTAACCATCAACCCAATAATGATAGTATGTTTATTTCTGGTCATTCTTCTGTGATGAGAAATATTCCTCTGTCCATCTAACACTGGGTTTTGTTTTTTTTTAAATGTAAAGAAGAAGTAATTTTAGACTTGATATAAGAAAATAATGGAAAACATAAATGGCTCAGTGAAGATGTGGACTATACCAACTGCTGCAGAGCAGACGCTCCCTGTACCAGGCATGCAAATGGTTTTATCTACCCTATTACATTGCTGAGCAAATATAGGTCGTAATGGAGCAATTAATGTGCGGTGCATTTATAAACAAAGTTGTGACTCAGTGGCTGGGTCACATGGACTAATGTATATGAATGTGATATAATGCTGCTGAATTAATATACTTGTGGGTTTTTAAATAAACATAAAAGTAATTATCATTAAGCAAGTGCAGATTGATGACTTAAACTGCTTCATAGTTGATCTGATAGCAAATGAAAAGCACAGTTCATGGAAGGGAGAAGAGTCTTAATATTCATTTGGCCAGCCCAGGTTACCATACATTCATCAACCACATCTGTATCTTGCCATTCTTCTTACTCCTTTCTCAGGAAATCAGGGCAAGCCATCCAGAGTGAAGTGGTGCAGCTTCATAACAATTCATTTAAAAATATTGTAGTTGTGGAGCGCCTGGGTGGCTCAGTCAGGTAAGCACCTGACTTTGGCTCAGGTCATGATCTCATAGTTCGTGAGTTTGAGCCCCACGTTGGGCTGTGTGTTGACAGCACAGAGCCTGGAGCCTGCTTCGGATTCTGTGTCTCCCTCTCTCTCTGCCCCTACCCTGTTCATGCTCTATCTCTGTCTCTCAAAAATGAATAAACATTTAAAAAGGTTTTTTTTAATATTGTAGTTGCAGCCACTTAGGTACAGCAAAAAGAGATGGTTTCAAACTTTTTGAATTTCCAGAGTACTTGTGTCTAATTCTTTCAAAAATAGCTTACAACTTTATTCAACAGTGTGAGTCTATTAGACTTCTCTGGTGCTGCTCTTGAACAATGCAATAGACCTCTTACAAAGTGGACAGCAAAGGTTGGGATCCATTGGAACAAATATGTGAGCTGCTGCACAAATGAATGTGGGGTGTGTGTGTGTGTGTGTGTGTGTGTAAGGAAGGATAGGTGACTTACAGAAATGGTAAAAAGAGAGACTGACTGTACTGACATTCCATTTCAGTTTCCTAAAACATTTAAAATAGTAGAGCAAATGGATCATTAAAGAAAATGTATGTATGAAATGTATGAAAACAATGTATGTAAGTATGGGGATGGGGGGTCTGACATCCCATACAATTTTTTATCCCATAAAGATAAAACTGAGATTTTGTGGTGGAGCTTTCTTTATGTAACACTGGCATTAAGACTTTGCCCCATAGATTGAGATTGAGATTGAGATTGCTTTAGAGTTCCTGTTATCTAGCCAGTATGATATCGCTATACCTGAAATTTTGAGCAATCAGTTCCAAGTAGGCTCTTTCAGCCAAGCTGCATTTATGGGCAATTACGTACAAAAGATATATTAGAATAACTGTTTGCGGTATTCTTAAATATAGAAACAGGAAGTATGGGGAGGATACATTTAGCTGTCCTTATCAGATAAACACACAAAGCTGAACAGTTCCTTCATAATTTTTTTAAAAATTTAAACAGCAGAATATTTCTGTCTATTGTTTAGGATATTCTTAGCATGTCTTATAGTAAAAATAATGTTGGTAAAGATTTCACTTCTACAAATGATTCATTCTTACACTTGTACCATGCTGCCAAAATTCCAAATCGTTCATGTTTTTATTCCTTCTTAATAAATGGTGTCAGAGGGATGTATGTATTTCCCCAGTAAATCTACTTCAGTGTTAGTTGCACGGCTGATTTCATTAATGAAATATGAGAAAAAGAATATGTGGATGATTTCGTGACTTTTTGTGAATTTTAAACTTGTTGATTGTTACTGATAAGAAAGTAGTTATTAAAACTTATTTGGAATCAGTTTGGTATTGGCTTTCACACCAAAAAAAAATTATGTGGACATGAAGTAGAAAGTGATTCTCAAACTCTATGGTACATAAAAACAACCTGAAAAGCTTGATAAACTGCAGGGTACCAACTGCTCGCCCTAAGAAGTTCTGGTTCAGGAGATCCAGAATATAGCTCTACAGTTCTCACACCGAAAGACATCCCAGGTAATTTAATACAGGTTTCCCAGAGTAGAGGCTAGTTTGGTATATGTGGTTTATTTGATCAGTCTTGCCTTCCAATGAAAACTTTCAAGGCCCCAGAATTGATTCTCTGACTCGATTACCTCCCCTCCTCTCGCCTCCTCTCTCCTCTCCCCTCCCTTCCCCTTCCCTCCTCTCCCCTTCTCTTCTTTCCCTTCCTCTTCTCTCTCTCTCTCAATTTATTTTAGGTTCAGTAAAGTTGAGTGGAAAGGACAGAGAACTCCCTTGTATTCCCTGCCCCTATGCATGCACAGCCTCCTTCATCATCAACATCCCGCACCAGAGTGGTACATGGTACATTTGTTACAATCAATGAACAAACACTGACACATCATTATCAGCCAAAGTCATTTGTTTACATTAGAATTCACTCTTGGTGTTTTAACTCTATGGTTTTTTGCAAATGTATGGTGACATGTATCCTTTATTATAGTAATGTACAGAATGGTCTCACTTCCCTAAAAATCTTCTCTGCTCTATCTATTTATCCTTGCGTCACCTCTATCTCCTGGCAACCACGAATCCTTTTACTGTCTCCATAGTTTTGCCTTTTCCAGAATGTCATACAATTGGAACCATATGTAGCCATTGACTCCTTTCATTTAATAATATGCACTTAAGATTCTTTCATGTCTATTTGTGTCTTGACCGCACATTTGTTTTTATTTTTTATTTTTAAATATTTATTTATTTTGAAGGAGAGAGAGAGAGAGAGAGATCACACAAGTGGGAGGGGACAGAGAGAGATGGAGAGAAAGAATTAGAAGCAGGCCCTGCACTGACAGTAGAGCCAGATATTGGGCTCAATCTCAAGAATGATGAGATTATGACCTGAGCTTAAATCAGTTGCTTAACTGACTGAGACACCCAGGCACCCCACTGATAGCTTATTTGTTTTTAGCACTGAATAATATTCTATTGCCTGGATGTAGCACAGTTTATTTATCCAATCACCTACATCTTGGTTGTTTCTAAAAGTTGGCAATTATGAATAAAGCTGCTACAGTCATCTCTGTACAGGTTTTTGTATAGATAAACATCAGCTTTTAACTCATTTGAGAAAATGCTATATGATTGCAGGATCATATGGTAAGAGTATGCTTAGTTTTGTACAAAACTGTCAAAATGCCTTCCAAAGTGACTGTATCATCTGCATTCCCACTAGCAATGAATGAGAGCTCCTGATGCTTTACATCCTCACTGGCGTCTGGTGTTATCAGTGTTCTGGATTTTATCTATTTTAATAGGTGTGTAGTAATATCTCTTTGTCCTATTTTGCAACTTCCTATTGATATATGATGTTGATCATCTTTTTATATTCTTATTTGCTATCCATGTGTCTTTTTGGTGAGGTATCTATTTAAATATTTTACACATTTTTAAAATTGGGTTGCTTGTCTGCTTATTTTTGAGTTTTAAGAGTTATTTGTATTGTTCAGATAACAATCTTTTATGAAATATGACTTTTGCAAGTATTTTCTCCCAGGTTGTGGCTTATCCTCTCATTCTATTAATGGTCATATCATTTATTTGTTTTCTTAAAATATTTTTTTTTAATTTAGAAAGACATAGTGAGTGGGGTGGGGGGGTAAGAGAGAGAATCTTAAGCAGGCTCCACACTCAGTGCACAGCCCACCTTGGGGATGGATCCCCTGACCATCAGATCATGACCTAAGCTGAAATAAAGGGTCAGACACTCAATGACTGAGTCACCCAGGTACCCCAGCGCATTTATTTGTTAAATTCATTGTCATATTAGACTCTGGGCTTCTTATGGGTGAGGATTAGGTTACATTTCTTTTTAGTTTCTTATCCCAGTTCTTGGCACATAGTAGAATTAAATAGTGTTTAAGGAATGGATGATACTGTTTGTGAGGTGAGTCGTCTAATGCCTTGCTACTCAAAGGATGGTTCTCAAATCAGTAGCATGGACATCGTCTGGGAATTGTTAGAAATGCAGAATTTCAGTCTTCACCTACTAAATAAGAATCGTCATTTTTCACAAGATCACTCAGATGACTTGTGAAGCTTAGTCTTTATGAACCCACATCTCCCCACCAGGAGTCAGGTGTGGCAGGAAGCCAAGTCACATTCATGATAGACTCATTTGGAAAGTTCTATTTTAGGCAAGAACAGGAAGGGCCTCACCACCCAGCCCAGAAAGTAAAAATGACAAGTGAGAGAAAAAACATTACTTCTTTATAGAACGGTTGTGCTAAATTTGAGAACACAGGAACCGAAAATCCTATGTTAGATATCGACTTACAGGTTCAAAAGCAAGTTCAGGTTTAAAATCAAACTCTATTATGAAGTTAGGGTAAACGTTCCATGGGAATCATTTTATCTGAAAACAATCTATGATCAGAGACTAGACACAGAGTTTGTTAGATTCTGAAGTGACATGGTTGAGAAAAATTCCATTACTGCTCATCACTGTTTATAGCATAGATGAAAAGATAGAAACCAAGCAGAAAATAATATTCTGATAGTTGAATTGTTCTCAGCGCTCTGTCTCTACTGGTCCTTGACCACCTGAAACACAAAGAAGTCAGACTGGGGGAAAAGATTAATATTAATTGGAATGGTAAATTGGTGAGCATGGCTTGGGTCCAAAGACAACATAAATTTCCCACCAATTCTACCCCTTAAATCCTGCTTGACTTTGGGACTTATTTATAGGAAAAGTTAGATCTAAAGAGAGATACCCAACCAGCCATGTGGGAGATGTCAGTCTGCCTCAAACCTCCCTAACTGTAAATGAATGAGAGCCAGGGATGTGATGACAGCCTCCTTTGCCTTTAGTGCAAGGGCTCCTTCCTGAGTTTAATGTGTTTTAAAAATGGGCTCTGCCCCTCTCTCCAGTCAGTTAAATCGATCCTTTTTTCTGTACAGAGAAGTCTGCAGGAAGGTAGATCAGTGGAACATCCTATTTTAGGAGTTAAAGTAAGAATGTGAGGAAAGCAAAAGAATGATTTTTCTCTAATTTTGGTAAGTACTTAATGGGGGTTAAATTTCAGTTGTAATTGTCATCTAAATAGCATATAGGTAGCATATAGGTAGTTACAAAGTGCTTTCCTGTATATTATATCAATTTATATATTGTAAGAGCTCTATTGCAACTATTTTCTCTTTATACTTCTTGGTTGTCCAAGATGTGTGTAACTAAAATGCTGATATAGCTATACATTTTAATTTTATTTTAGACAATATCATTAAAATTTATCCAAGTCTTAATCAAAGCTTAACAATTTATAAATAATTTTTATTTGTTTTTTGGGGGGGGTTTATTTATCTTTTTTAATTTTTTTATAGTTATTTATTTTTGAGACAGAGAGAAACAGAGCATGAGTGGGGGAGGGGCAGAGAGAGAGGGAGACAGAATCCGAAACAGCCTCCAGGCTCTGAACTAGCTGTCAGCACAGAGCCCCAAG